CCCGCGCACCTGAGCCGGCCGGCCGGCCCCGCCCCCGCAGGCCCATCGGGCCGCGCCGGGGCCCCGCCCCTCCGCCTCAGCGGCCTCAGCCATTGGGCGCACGCTGGGCAGCCCTGTCTGGGGCGCGGCCGCCACCCCTGAGGGTGGGAGGGAGGAAGCGGGTCCCGTCCAACCCCGGCGACAAGCAGCGCCACCCTCGGCGGCGTCGGCCCAGCCCAGGCTTTGTCTGCACGGGTCTTAAACCCTCCAGGGATGGAGAGCGAGTCCGCCAGCTCTCCGGGTAACCTGGTCCTGTGCTTTACTACCTTCCCAGTGAGCAAGTTGTTCCTAATATCTGACCTCAACTTCCCTGGCTGCAGCGTGAGACCGTTGCTGCCCTGTTCTGTCATCTGCCACCCCTGAGAACAGGCCAGCTCCACCCTCGTCCAACCCCCTGCAGGTAGTTGAAGACTGCTGTTAAAGCCCCTTCCGTCGTCTCTTCCCTAGACTAAATTAGCCCAGTTCCCTCAGCCTCTCAGAAGTCATATCCCAGCCCCCCACCATTTCTGTTGCCCTCTGCTGGACTCTCTCCAACTTGTCCACATCCTTTCTGTAGCGGGGGCCTAAAACTGGACACAGCACTCCAGATGTGGTCTCACCAGTGCTGAATAGAGGAGAACAATCACTTCCCTTGACCTGCTGGCAACACACCTACCAATGCCGCCCAGGATGCTGTTAGCCTTCTTGGCATCGAGGGCATGCTGCTGGCTCCTGTTCAGCTTATTGTTCATGGTAACCTCCATGTGTTATATGAAATGATGCACGTCACCATCTGCACCCCCCTTTTCAAAATCCCAAATCCACCCATGCACTCAGAGCCATGAGGAAGGGCCCCAGTCAGAGAAGAGGTTGAGCTCACCTGTTAGACTTATGCCAAAGTGTTTTGTTGCAAAGAAATATGTGAGGCCCAAGAAAAGAGCAGAAATCAGGCTCTGGGCAGGCATCAACCTTTGCTGAGCTGGAGGGACCAGCCAGCAGCTCACCGCAGGGAACAGATTTCTTTAGGAGCTGCTGGGAAAGGCTGACAAATGAGCAATAAACTGTTATTATCTTTCAAGGAAACAATTGCATGGGCATCACTTTCTGGTAGAAAGGTAAGTTTCAGGGGAGATAAAACTGCTCTGTGCCCTGTGACAACACAGCCATTCATTCTCAGTGGCCATGTGTGGAACGTGAATCCAGTCCAGGTGTGCTTTTGTAGCCAAACTCCTGTCCTTTGCCGTAAGCACACATCACAGGTCTCAGTGGTGATTCCGCACAGTCTCTGTGCCAGGAATCTAAAGAGGAAATAGTTCTTGCTTGGAGCTCCCCTGACATCACCCACTGTACAGTTATTCAGCATTAGTAAGATATCAGCTCTGCAAGTTACCTTGCCTGGAACAACCTGCATCGCCAGGAGGAAGCTCTGGGACTCATGACTGTGGGTCTGTTCCCCGGCTCATTTGGTCACATGCCCCTGGACAAATTACTGGACAGTGTCCACAGTCTCCTAAGACCCATGCAAGGAGCAGTGGGGGAACCGTCAGAGACTCTCTGTTCCGCTTTCCCTTAGAGAAAGGCCTTATTTTAACCCTTGGACTTGTGCTCTTTCATATCCTTTTTTCTCTTTTCCCAAGAATCAGCTGAAGCCAGATCTGGGGCTCTCTTCTCATATCAGGGCTTTGGACTTTAGCTTTGAGCCAGGACATAAAGCCACCCCCTACCCCAGGGCTATAAATATTGTAGCTTAGGTCCATGGCCCCCCAACATAGCCTCCTGGCTATGGGAGAGACTTTCAATTTCTGATAGGCCCCAAAGCCTCCCTTATCAATGCAGTTCTAGAACGACAATAGATACTTGGCCTGGAAATGCCCTTTTAACCAGTGAGAATAGCTTATAGGGTCAGGTGCTAAAATCTGCCCTTTGTTCCACTTCTCAATGCTCTAGCTCCTGCTACTGATGGGAAGCTTCCCCACACACCCTGCACATGCAGATTTTAGCCACCTTGCTGATAAAGATGATTATTTCTTTGGGGGCTCCACCACACCATCTCCCAAGACTAAAGGAGGAGGGGGACTAATGGACCTTTTAACAGCTAGGGTTAAACCTTGCTAAAACTGGTAGGTTTAACTGCCATACTTACTTAAGGTGGCCATACCTTTACATATCCAGATGTGGAATGGCTAAGCCTGGGGGATACAGAACCAGGGTCCAAGTGACTTTTTGGGACTAAACGAACAGGGATGAGAGTAAAGTCAAAAGGCTTAAACAAGAGTTCCAGAGGAGAACACCAAGTAGAGAGCCCTAGGTCTCAAAGATAACCAGGGAGCTAGTATACTTTAGACAGACTCTGCCAGGAGCTGAGGAAACCAGGAACCAGAAACAAGCCTCACAGTTGCAGAACACCCCACTGCGTCCAGCTTCTTCCTGATGGTCCCAAGGAACATTTTTTTCCACAAGGCAAATGCAAAGCTGTTCAGGAATGGGAATGATCTAGGAGTATTGGGATGGAGGGAAAG